GCCGGACAGAGCCCCGGGTGGGGGCCCCGCCTCCCGCCGCCGCCTCGCTCGGCGCGGGTCCCGGGGGTAATAATTCTTTTTAAAAAAGATGTTTAAGGGCTCCTTTCAGACAACTTACAATAAGGTGAGAGAATATGTAATGTCTATAAATTCCCAGCAAATGGAATAGTGGTTACAATGCTAAACTCCCACATGGTCGACTGCGGTTTGAGTCCTGGACTCAGAGGCTTAAAACACACACCGAATGTGTGTGTACGTGTGTGTGTGTGTGTGTGTGTGTGTGCATGCCCAAAGTCCCAAGAGAAAAATGGAAGAAAAAGGATTGCGGCATGGCCACCCCCCTGGGGGGATGGTTTCTCACTTTCTGTCTGTCTGTCTGTCTCTCTCTCTCTGTCTCTCTGATAAGTGCATGTGCCCTATGGCAAAAACCTCTCTTATAAATTCCCGATTTCTTTCTTTGCTTACAAAGGATATTAACCTGCTATTTTATTTGTATACAATATTGAGAAGAACTCTGTTCCTCTGTAACCCAAATGATACGAGTTGTGGTGAGATGTCCCTAGGGATCCACAACTCTTTCTTCAGGAAATAAAGTGCTAGAACATCTCTTTCCTTTCCTCCAGAATGTTCTTTTGGTTTTTCCTTCAGGGATTCAGTTACAAAAAGAACAGCATTTTCTCTGTTGTCTACCAGACAACTGCACATGAGAAGGTTCCTGGTTCAAGTCCGGAGATCTCCTGAGTGTGCCAAGCATGCATTTGCCCATTATCCAGGCTGAGGGCTGGGGGTGGATCACGGCCTCAAGACCCTGCTGGGAATGCTATCTCTCTATTTTTCTCCTATTCCTGGAAGAAGTAAATAAACTTAAAAAAAAAAAAAAAGCCTCACGCCATCATGTGGCATGGTGGTTGGGATGCTGGACTCCCACATGGCTGACCATGGTTCGAGTCCTGGACCTAGCAGCTTGCTTTCTCACTTTCTCTCTCTGTCTCTGTCTGTTGCTGGTGAGCACATGCCCTATAGTAAATTTTAAAAATAATTATAATAAAAAATTATTTTATTTAATTCCATTATTATTATTTCTTTTGTTTGTTTTTCTTTAATTTGATGAGAGAAAGAGAAAGGGAAAAAACAAGCCTCCAGGTCCAGGACTCAAACTGCAGTCAGCCATGTGGGAATCCAGTGCCTTTAACCACCATGCCACCTACTGGCCCCCAAAGTAATCATTAAAAAAAAAATGCCTTGTGCCTCTTTGGCTGGTGACAACTTGGGAGATAATTAGCTCCTTACCAGTATGGAAGATTGCTTGTTTTTCCTTCTCATTTTATTTAGCACTGTTTTTGTTTCTTGATTGTGTGTGGGATTTTTGTTTGTTTGTTTGTTTGTTTGTTTGTTTGTTTTTTGGCTGTAGGGCATGAGCACTCACCAGAGAGAGGAGAAGGAAAATGAGAAATCACCGTCAAAGGGGGATGGCCATGTTGCAATCTTTCTCCTCCATTCTCTTCTTGGGATTTTGGACATGCAGGTGCAGGACTTGAACTGCTCAGTCAGCCATGTGGTATCCCCCTACCTTAGCCACTACACCACTAGTTGGTTCCACGTAACTCTTATAACTCAATGTTGCTATAAGGCAGTGTTGTCATATTTCCCACGTAAGTTTTTCCCTGTCCCCAACAAGTCCTTTCATGGGCTTTCATGTCTTGAGTAAGCACTACATCGTAGGAGACGAAAGTTAAAACATAAATGCATGTGAGAATTACTGCTAGAATAATTGAAGAGTAGGTTCGAGACCAAAAAAAAAAAAAAATTAAGATTTTTATTTCTGATCAATGGCTCTATTTATTGACACCATTCTTTTAAGAAGGAAAATATTTCAAAATGAAAGGTATACATGTCAATACTGCTTTGAAATGAAAAGTTACTTGCTTAGAGAGATTACATATAAATGATGAATGATGATAAGGTATGTGTACATATATGTGTATCTATCACAGATACATGGTCTTTGGCTATTAGTTACACACTAACCACTTTATCAGGGCGATAGAAGGTAACGGATCACAGACTCAAATTATGGAACACTGAGCATTTTCAGAGGCGTTACGTGGAAGGACCTCAGCAATTGATGATTAGATGAAATGTTTGGGAGGGATCACCACTGGGCAGCAATTAAAATCATTTGTGAGGGGAGCAGTGGCAATATTTAAAAGACATACTCTCCTACATGACTCACTGGCCTTCTCTTCGAAGAGGTTTCTCAGCTCTCTGGGACTACCTGGGAATCAAGCATGCCTCTACTAATGGAATTTGCAGCCTCCGGGTCTTTTTTATTTTTGAAGAGGTTTTTGCTAGAGGGCACGTGCGCTCGCCAGAAAGACAGAGAGAGACAGAGAGACAGAAAGCTAGAAACCACCCCTTCAGGGGTGATGGCCACACTGCAGCCCCTTCTCTTCCATTCTCCTCTCAGGATCTCGGGCACGGACACACATGCGCCTGGCGTGAGTTTAAAGCCACTGGGTTTGGGACTCAAACCGCGGTCGACTACATGGGAGTCCAGCGACATAACCATAACGCTAACTGCTGGTCCCCTCTGGGTCTTTTTATCTCACTGTTCCCTTTCTTCATGAGAGCACATGTGGCCATTGATAATCATAGCACTTGACAAACTGAGACAAACTAAACTGGCCATGAAATTCATATTTGCCCACGATGAGTTTTCAGAAGGACCCCGGTGGCTGCCTTGTAAGATAATACTGGGTCGTTGGCAAAGTCGTGACGCATGTTGGTATAGAAAAACATAGAAAATACTCCATGACTTTTCCGATGACCCAATAGAAAGCTGAGGCGTATCAGGAATGGCATTGAATGACTTTTTGTATTGTAGGAGAAAGGTTGGACCCTGGCTGGTCTCTAACGCCCCCTTTCTTTGTCAGATTCTATGATTTTAGGTGTCCTGTGTATTTTAGGAAAACAGCCCAGAATATCCACCAGTGTTTTCAACATGTGCTTCTTATTTGTTGGAGAAGCCAAGCTCACATCCTGTCATAAGATAAGGGTGTTGCATCCACCCTGGTCTCTGCAGTGACAACAGCCCGAAGATAATGAATAAAGGGGAAGGGAACCAGCAGTTAGAGTAATGAATAAAGGGGTGACCGGGGGTTAGACAATGCAGAGTACCCAGGAAATTGCTAGCATCTGCTTATCGCCTTCCTACCTGTAACAACCACAATTAGGAAAGTATTCGAATGATTCGAAACTGGCACATTTAGGCACAGTGGCAATTCGGAGAAGTAGACAGTGGTTCCTGCCCTCAGGGAGCTGAAGATCTGGTTGGAGACAGAATACACAAACTAAAATGAACTCGGTAACAATTAAGTGTGCGCCCCTGGGATACTGAGTACAGGGGACAGAACACAGTTAAGGTCATGTGAGAGTCCAAGAAGATTTTAAGAGGCAGGACTTGAACTGAGCCTTAAGTCTGCATTTAGTAAGGGTTGAGGGAAGAGAAGAAGAAATCTCTTCGGGGTGTGGGACAAGGTGAGCAAGGAGAAGACCCCGAAGCCTGAGTCTCTGGAATGAGAGGGCATGACATGTGTACAGGAGAGGAGGCAGGCCCTGCATCATAGCAGGAAGGTGAAGAACTGGTTTGACCGAGGTGAAAGGGAACAGAAAGAAATAAAGTGGCCAGCAAGGAGGAGGAGTCATGTGGCCTCGAAAGCCAGACAGATGGTTCTGAAAGTCGATCTCCAGGGGTGTGTCCCCAGGAATAACCAGCATAGATCTCTCAGATGCATGACGTGGGATGCCTGTTGGCTGATTCAAACACAGAGACTGCTGGCCACGGCAGCTTGGCGAGGCCTAGCTCAATTCCAGACTGCTTGACTCACGGCACGGTGACAGGCCCGAGGCTCTGGGGGTTGCAGTTCACAGCCCAAGAAGCCCACTTCACACAGCTGCTGCGTGTGGGATGTGGTCGCATGGGCTTTGTTCAGATGTGGCTAGTACTAAAATCACAGCCTTCAGCATGACGAAATTCAGATGGTTGGTGGGGGTGGGGGGTGGGGGTGGGAGAACAAAGATGGCCTCTTACAGTCTCACCATTTGGATGTTAATAGCATTTTCTAACTTTATTCACAATTTCAAAATAATACTTGAAAATTTTCTGGTCAAAACCACAAGCCTATGTATTAGATGCCATCCCTGTTAGGAATTATTTTTGTGTAATTTTAAAAAGCATTAACACAAAATACTTGTTGGTAAAAGAGGTCTCTTAGGTAGTCTTCTTTTGATGAGGACGTTGAGATTTTTTAACTTTCAGGAATTTCTTGCCTTTTTGACGTTTTTTCCCTTTCCTTTGCTTTTTCTTTTGGTTGACCTGCACGAAGGGGGAAGAAAGGGTGAGATTTTTGAATCTTAAAATTGGACTCTCCTGATTGTGGTCTTTCTATACCCTCAAAACTGGCTTAAAAGAGCTTTATTCTCTAAGAGGCTCCTTTTGATTATCTTTGGTTGCCATGAGAAGAAAAAAAAAGCTTTTCTTTTTTTTTTTTCTGGAGAGGTTTTTGCTATAGGGTGTGTGTGCTCGCCAGAGAGACAGAGAGAGAGACAGAAAGACAGAAAGTGAGAAATCACCCCCCAGGGGGGATGACCACGCCGCAATCCCTTCTCCATTCTCCTCTCGGGATCTTGGGCACGCATGCACACGCGCCTATCTGTGAGTTTAAGCCGCCAGGTCTGGGACTCGAACTGCAGTCGACTACATGGAAGTCCAGCGACATAGCCATTACGCTCACTGCTGGTCCCATAAGAGAGATTTTTGCTATAGGGCATGTGTGCTTGCCGGAGAGACAGAGAGACAGAAAGAGAGGAATCACCCCCAGGGGAGCACATGCTGCAACCCCTTTTCCTCCATTCTCTTGGGATTTGGGGCACACATGCACACGTGCCAGGAATGAATTTTAAGCCATCAGATCCGAGTCTCAAACCATGGTTGACAATGTGGGAGTCCAGCGATGTAACCATTTCACCATCTGCTGGTCGGAGAGCTTTTTAACTGGTCTTCCGTCTGTTTTCCTGGCATATTATTTTACTCACCCAACCTTGCTTACTACCCACCCGGCCCAACCACAGTTCCCTGAGGGCGGCAGCAGCTGTCGTGTCCACCTTTTACATGAGGAGGCTGAGGCCTGGGAAGGGTGACCAGCCCCATGTCGCATAGCTAGTATGTGGCAGGACCACTAGCCTGTGAGACTCTAGGACCCAAGCTCCCAAACACATATCTGGTGGCCCTCTCCCAACTCACTCTTCACCTTTTCTGAGTCTAGTTTTCTTTCTTTCTCTCTCTCTCTTTTTTTTTTTTTTTTACTTTCCCCATTTGCCAGAGTGTGTGCACTCACTGGAGATTGACAGAGAGAAAAAAAGAGGGCAAGTGAAAAAGAACCCCACCTCCCATGGAGGATGGTCACACCACAATCCCTTCTCCTCCACTTCTCCCTCCTTTCGGGACTTTGGGCAAACACATGTGCATGCCCAGGGTGTTTTTCAAGTTGCTGGGTCTGTGACTCCAACCATACGGTCAGCCATGTGGGATCCACCTAAGTCACCAGCTATCGGTTGGCCCCTGGTCTACTGTTCTACGTAAACCCCTTCACTCCTCCCATACAAACTCCAGCCATATTACTGGAGGTCCCTGAACTCAAGTTCTCTCCTGATTTTACTCAGCTTCATGTTGGTCTTACCCTTCTGGCGAATCATTTCTCCACCAAGATGCAATCGAATGTCACCTGATATAAGAAGTCTTCCTTAACATTTCTCCCTGCTCCTCCCCTGACAAAGTTAACACTCCTTCCTCTATAAACTTCAAGATTCTTCTATGTATGGTTGGTTTTTGTTTCTCACATTTCAACAGAATTGTCAGCAAATTGCTACAGAAGGAAGCGACTATATCATATTACTTTTATATCCTCAGTGTTGACCATTCAATTCAATGTGTATTTATCATACTGAATAAGACAGACAAGGTCCCGATTCTCATGGAACTTATATTCTAGAGGGGGACACAGACAAGTGATATTATATGCAGGAATAAAATTATACCTCAAGGTGATAACATCATTCTAGAAACAAAGAGGACTACATTAATATGAATAAAAAATATGTCCTTAAAAGAATCATACAAATTTTTTTGTTTTACAAAGTTAATTTATAAAAAAAAAAAAACAATTTTTGATCCTCCTTTTTACCAACCTTTTTCTCCCAATCTTTAATCAATTTCTTCACATTTGCTGAATCTGGGTTTAGACATGCTTGATCCCCATTCTTCATTGTAGCACTGCCCAAAAAATAACAAGATATGTCCTCTCATTGGTAATTTAAATGATAAAATTGTTTTTGAAGAAATAATGACAATCAAGGTGAATTTTACTGAATTGTCTAATGAAAAATGACTTTAAATATAATATTGAGTTGTCAGAAAAGTCACGATGCATTTTTGCATAGAAAAACAGGGACCAGCAGCTGGCGTAGTGGTTACATCACAGGACTCCCACATGGCTGACCCTGGTCCAAGTCCCAGACCTGATGGCTTGAAAATCATGCCAAGTGCATATGTGTGTGTGTCCAAGATTCCAGGAGGAGAACGGAGAATAGTGGAGGAGGGATTGTGTCATGGCCATATCCCCTTGGGGGTAATTTCTCACTTTCTTTCTCTCTCTCTTTCTGGCGAGCACAGGTGCCCTAAGGCAAAACCTCTTTAAAAAAAGAAAAAAGAAAACCATAGAAAAATGTCATGACTTTTCTGATGACCCAATACAATTTTCCTAAGTTAAGGCTAACAGATTTAATTTTAAAAATTATCCCTGTAGATATAGTTTAGAGATCTTTCTCCTCTTAGTTCCTCTATAGTCTGAGAATAAGAGAAGCCAATCCATTTATCATCTGTTGATTTTGGTATCAAAAGACTTAATATATGCATACCATTTGATCTAGCAATTGTACTATCTAGAGTTAGAAAGAATTAAAGACATAATACTGCCATAATAACAATATGATTTCAATAGGAAAAATTTGTAAATAATCTACATTTCCAACAATAGGAACTGGTCGTATAAATTATAGTATATCATATGATGGAATACAATTTGGCAAAGCTAAAAATGACATTATGAGAAGACTTACTGACATGACAAAACGTTCAAAATAAAGTATGAATGAAAAAGCAGGTTGCAAAACAGTACACACGACTTTAGTGTGTGAAGGCTTCAAAAAAATTATTGGGAAAATAAAATTAAACAAGTTTGTAGTGGTGAAAGAAACTCAAAACCCATGCATAGTTTTTTCATAAAATGTATTGGGTTGTCAGAAAAACCATGGCGTATTTTCTTTTTTAGAGAGACTTTTGCTATAGGGTATGTGCACTTGCCAGAGAGACAGAGAAAGACAGACAGACAGAAAGAAATCACCCCCTGGGGGGATGGCCAAACCACAATCTCTTCTCCTTAATTCTTCCCTTGGGCACACATGCACACATGCCCAGCGTGAGTTTTAAGCCACTGGATCCAGGACTCGAACCACAGTTGATTATGTGGGAGTCCAGTGACGTAACCATTACACCATCTGCTGGCCCCAGTCATGATGCTTTTTCTAGGCAAAAATGACTCATGACTTTTCTGACAACCCAGTGTTTTCCATAAACTTTTCCAGGACCCCTCATATTATGTACATAAGTATTTGTCTATCTATTTTGTTTCTACGTATGTATACACAAAGCAGACAAGGAAGATTCCAAGGTCTATGTACCAATGGGTTAACAGTATTTGTTACTGACGATAGGATTATAAGTGATTTTTATTTTGCTTTTTAGGGCCACCTGTAAGAAACTACAAGTTTCTACAATTAATATGAGTTACTTCAAATATATACCATCCTTGTTTCTTAATGACTACTGGAAATTCTTTATTTTCTAGGAGAAGAAAAAAAAAAGTAGGCTAGATTTATGGAGGGGTTAACCATCTGAACTTTATTATTTTTTTTAAAAGAATTACATTATTTAACTTTATTTATTTATTTATTTTAATTTGACCAGAGAGGGACAGAGCGAGAAAGCAAGCTGCCAGGTCTGGGACTCAAACCGCAGGCAGCTATGTGGGAGTCCAGCACCCTAACCACCACGCCACTTGCCGGCCCCATCATCTGAACTGTAAATATCTTTACGAAGAAGCACTCCAAGGGTAACACTCTCACTAACTTTAATATACCTGTTAATATGGCACCTGCATGTTGGATGGGCTTTTACTTACATGATTTCAGTTTTCTCACAGAAAGGGCTTGGGGCGTATTGTTTAATGTCCTTTAAGAACCGTAAGTGGATCATCGCTTTGGTACTGTCAATGCAGACACAGCGTCCGCTCTTCATTATTAGGGCACCTAAGGAAAAGTGGAAGGGTCGAACGTATCGGTGAGGAGCAATGTCTCAATTTAGATGAGCCATCAAAATGACACATTTGACTTAATCACCATCGTTAGCACTAAGTGTGTAAATCATCACCACAAACTTTTGAATTATGTATTATTTTCATAATACATAATTTCTGAGGTTCTGAGAGATTAAATAAAAAGCAGTCACAGAATTTTTACAAAACAGGTCCAGGGTTTTAGCTCAGGTCTCTTGAAGTCTAAAGGTGTTAATCTTAACACTATCCCTTACAGCCGTAGAAAGAGAAGAGATCTTATTATATTGAGTAAGTGCCTATTACAGGTCAGACACAGTGGTAGCCAACGCACAGGTACAATGAAGATCACAGCTTAGAAGCAACTCTCAAAGCCATTTAGAACCTGACTTCAACACCATTTAGAACCTGACTTCAACACCATTTAGCACCTGACCTCAACGCCATTTAGCACCTGACCTCAAAGCCATTTAGCACCTGACTTGAGTGGAATGGAGCTGGTGGTGGCTTAGACAGAAAGCTCTACTTGTTATAACAATTACCACCTCTATTCCCATCCCCAACCTCCCTCTTCCCTATTGCCATGATTTTCAACAGTGCTTTAAACTTTGTAAAACTCTTAAAAATACATTGTCTTGGGACCAGCAGTTAGCGTAATGGCTATGTTGCTGGAATCCCACGTAGTCGACCGTGGTTTGCGTCCAGGACCCAGTGGCTTAAAACTCATGCCGGGCACGTGTGCGTGCATGCCCAAGATCCCTAGAGGAGAACAGAGGAGAAGGGATTGCAGCGTGGCCATCCCCCCTGGGGGGGGGGGAGGGGGATTTCTCGCTTTCTATCTCTCTATCTCTCTCTGTCTGGCTGGCGAATGCATGTGCCCTATAGCAAAAACCTTTCTGAAAACAAAAAACAAAAACCAAAAAACAAAAAAACAAAAAAACCATTATCTTTGTATCCCAATTCTTACATTCACTCAGCATGTATTCACCCAACACTCACATTGTGGTCAGTAGAACAGGTGTAAGTACAAAATTTCCAGATTTTAGAGAGCAAACCAAGGTCTACAAAGGTTGTTATATGACCAGGGTAATAAAAACAGAGAGTAAACAGATTAAGGACAACCTCTCTGCTTGTCAGATCCTTCATTGGTTAACCACAGACATACTTACAAAGAAACAGTATCAGAGTGGTGAAGACAATGAGTCAGTGTCTTCGGCCTTACCACACCCAGCTCAACATGCACTTATTCATTCAATGCTTACTAGGAATTCACACACCTCTGCTGAAAAGGCTCATGTTTGACTTGAAGTTCCAAGTTACGACCTTTGGATAATTGTCCACAACACTGACACGCTTTGACGAGCAGCCAGCACTACTGTCCAATGCATGCAGAACAGTCACCCATCTCCAGGGAATCAAGAGGAGTTCACAAGGGTTCACTTCTCGGACTTTACTCACCTAATATCACTCAGAACCTCTTACCTTGAATTCCGACCAGAACCAGGAAGGTGACATTCAAGAAGAGAAGAATACCTTTTTTCTCCATTGTGGTAGAATGAAATTCCTCTAGATCACCCCTGTATGGATTTCTAGCTTGAGAAATTTCTTAGAGCATGCCTTTTTGGAAACCATATTTATTTAGTACACCCATTTCCTTTCTAAACTTTGATTGGTTGGCATCCTTAGCTGATCTAACAAAACAGACCACAAGCTTGGTTGTGCTGGGGGAAACCCTACTCTCAGATCCAAGGGAATTTCTGCATGTTTTTTTTTTTCCATTTCACATAAATGGGTGTTTTATAGTAAGGGATGTGAAACCAGCAATCCTGGTGGCCTTTAAGCACACCCATAGCTGCTCACCTGAGTAAAGAATAGGTTACATAATAAATAATAGATTACATTAGAGTCATAAAACGAGGGCTAGCGCTGTGGTTTGCAGGTGGGAAATAGCAAAGTCCAATAAGTAACACACTTTTCAAATTCACTTACTGTTTGCGGCACGTCCTTCTACAAGATACATGGTGACGTTTATTTTTTTCTTATATTGTCCACTCAATGACTTAAAGCATCTTCATTTATTTAGAGACCGGGTCATTTTTTCTATCAGTGGTAAATTTATTTTATGTCAGTGTTGCTATAATTTATTACTTTTGTTTATTTATTTTTAGAACATCTTAAAATTTTAATCCTTCCTTTACAGGTTACCTAGATCACTTCTCATTACTATACAAAGTTAGGAGCCACCACAAGCAAATGCAAGGCAGTGGCACACGTCAATTTCTCAGAGTCCTGTTTTGCAGGGTGTCTGAAGGCACTGCTCGGAGTCTCTTCTGGAAAGCGGATTTCAGTTTTGAGGGCTTCCTTGTCACAGCGAGGGTTATCAGGAACAATAAGCCTTTGCCAAGTCAATAAGTTAGCTTCATCGACCTGGATGTTATGAAAGACTTTCATTTCACATTTGCAGATTTCTTCAAGCTCCTTCATCCTCCTCCTCCTGGTCACCATCCTGGATCTGGTGCTGCTGCTTTCCCAAATCATTTATTATTTTAAAATTTGTTAGTTAGAATAAGGGTTCAGTTGTGTGCAAAAGACCCAAGTTAACAGTGGCTAAGAAGCTTGTTCTCCCAGACAGAGGTAGGCAGACTAGCACGGGTACAGTGCCTCTTTTCCGAAGGTCTTCCAGGATTCTTCGATCTTGTTGCTTTGTCATTGTATCTATAGATTTCTGTCCTCATGCACATAGCCAAAAGTGACTTGCCACCATGCTCCAATTTCCAAGTCAGGATGGTGAGAAGATAGAAAAAGCACATGTTTCTCCTTTCTAGACACATCCTAAAGTTGCACCCATCCTCTTCCATCACCTCCCATGGGGCACAGCTTATTACATGGCCATACTTGGGTACAGGGATATATGTGCTCAAGTGGGAGGGGGAGGAGAGAAAGTACCCCCCGATGGGGCGTGGTTGTGCTGCAATACCTTCTCCTCCCTTTCTCCAAGGGAATGCAATCTTTATTCTAGTTGACCAGCTAAGAAATGCAGGTTCCATTACTGTAAAACAATGTTTCCCAACCTTTTCATACAGACTGCCCATGTACCTTGAGGGGAAAAAAAAATCTATTAAATTGAAATGAACTGGAATCTAAATTAAATTGTTCCCTGGGTCAGCTCTGTGATGCGGCAGTAATGTGCTGCTCAAGAAAAGATGGATTCCACAGGGCGACTGTGGTTTCAGTTTCCAGCTTGCTCAGATGGAAAATATGCCAGGCATGCGGGAAAGTGCCCAGATCCAATGAACTGGAAGAATGGAGGAAGGGGATCACATGACCAGATCCTGTGAACAGACCCTGCAGAGGGTGTTCTTCACTCTTAATCTCTCTCCCTTTTATTTCTTTTTTTAAAAAGAATTAATTAATTTATTTATTTATTATTATTATTATTTAATTCACTAGAGAGAGACAGAGCGAGAGGGAAAGTGAGAAAGCAATCTGTCAGGTCTGGAACTCAAGCCATGGTCAACCATGTGGGAATCTAGTGCTTTAACCACCCTACCACCTGATTCAGTCTCTCTTACTACGTGTGCATGCATGTGCATAAATGCGTGTGCACTCTGTCATGAATAAAAAAAAATACTTTAAAAAATAGTAAATAAATGTAATTTCTCCCTAAGGAGAAATTTATTGGTACTGCTTCATGATATAGTGGCTAGACACTGTGCAGAAGTAGGATCCCTCTTGGCTGATTGAGTTGCAGTTGCTGAAAAACACACCAGGCAGGACCAGCAGATGGCATAACGGTTATGTCTTTGGACTCCCACATAGTTGACTGCAGTTCAAGTCCCAGACCCAGCGGTTTAAAACTCAAGCCAGGTGTGTGTCCACGTGTGCCCAGAGGAGAATGGAGGAGGAGGGATTGCAGCATGGTCATCTCCTCTGGGGATGATTTCTCGCTTTCTTTCTGTCTGCCTCTGTCTCTGTGGTGAGCACACAAGCACTATAGCAAAAACAGGGGTCAGCAGGTGGCATAGTGGTTAAGGTGCTGGACACTCCTACATGGATGACCACAGTTCAAGTCCTGGATCTGGTAGCTTGCTTTCTCACTTTCCTTCTCTCTGTGTGTCTATCTTTCTCTGATCAAATGAAAAGAAATGAATGAGTAAATAAAATTAAATAAATAATTCTTAAACAAAACAAAACAACAAAGAAATGCACCAAGCATGCACACGTAGACAGGATGGAGAACTGGAAGAAAAACAATGATGGCATGACTGGTCTTGCTGAGTGCTTTCTCTCTCTCTCCTGCATGTACGTGCATATAATCTCTGACACTTAAAAACAAAAAGAAGGAAATTTATCTCTTTTGAGAGACATTAAATTTTAAGAAATAAATTTTGTTGGATAGAGTTGAACTTTGGTGGGTCACTAATGATTGTAATAGCTAAGCTTTTTATTTTCTGCTCTCCAAGAACCAATTTTTTCCCTTTTTCGGGCCAATATTGCTCCCTTCCTATTCCCATCAAGAATGCACACTGTAGGGACCAGCAGTTAGTGTAATGGCCATGCCACTGGACTCCCATGTAGTCGACCACGGTTTGAGTCCTGGACCCGGTGGCTTAAAACTCACGCCAGGCGCGTGTGCGTGCATGCCCAAGATCCCGAGAGGAGAACGGAGGAGAAGGAATTGCGGCGTGGCCATCCCCCCTGGGGGGTGATTTCTTGCTTTCCGTCTCTCTGTCTGTCTGGCGAGTGCACGCGCCCTATAGCAAAAACCACTCCAAAATATGGGGAGACCAGATAGATGGGGCACGTTTTCTGACTTGGTATATGGATGTCTAAAAGGAACACTGCAAAATCCTTTTCGAAGAAAACATCAGGTGACCTTTTGATACATGCATTTGGCTATGCTTAATTTTTGTAATGACTGTGCCCATGCAGGATGGAGCTGAGTTCAGGTCCCAGCTTTGTTATATAATGAGTGGGTACAAAATACTGAACTTTGGTGAGCCTCAGCCCTCTTATCTGAGAAAACCATTAGTGACAGGCTGCTAAGATGAATGGCAGCAATACTTGTCAACTGCCAACCAAGACAAGCCACTGGCTATTCTTTTTAGCAAAGAAAGGAGGGTGAGAACTTCTCAGGATAAGGACAAAGACCAGGGCCAGCTGGTGGCTGGTGGTTACGGTGGCTGGATCTCTATGGCCCACTGAGCAGTTCCAGCCCCAGACCCACTGCCCGTAAAACAGTAGGGTCCATGTGTTCAAGTGCCCAAAATCCCAAGAGGAGAATGGAGAAGAGATTGTCCAGTGGCCAACTCCCACCACCACGCCCTGCCCCCCAATCTCTCTCCAGTGAGCAGCATGTACCCTATAGCAAATTAAAAGAAAATATTAAAAAAAAACAAAAACAAAAACGCCCAAGACCCCGCATGGTCTGCCCCTGTCCAACTTTTCAGCTTCTTCCCTCCCAGCTCGACCCCACCACATGTCTTCTCTCAGTCCTTCGAAGAGACAGAGCTCCTTGCCATGGCATTGTTTTTCGGTCAAGTCGTTTTCCTGCCCAGAACGCGGCGCCTGCTCTGTGCCCTAACCTACTGCCCAGAAATCTTAGTTACCCACGTCTACACAAGGCGCTCCCACGGCACCACTTGCTCTCCCCATTGAGCCACAGTCCACCACAATGTTGCTCCTTGCCGGGATCCCATGATGAAGATGCCCCTCCACTGCTAGACCAGCGAGGTCTCGTCTAAACACGATGCTGAACACGGTGCCTCGCACAGCGGAGCCGCAGGAGATGCGCGCCCAGCAGCCAGGTAGGCAGCTCGGAGCCCAGCTCTGCAGGACTGGCGACCTGCCAGGGCGTGAGGGGCTCCGTGCCCCAGGCTGAGGCGCACACTGCGCATGCCCAGCCAGCCAGGGTTCCAGAACTTTCCTCCCTGGGGAAGTTACAACCCGAGCGCCCAACGACTCTCGCTCGTGCTGCTCGCGTCGCTGCTGCGTGTCCTTGTTGCCTGCGCTGGTCCGGCTGGAAGGGAAGAGAAGCACCTGGGAAGGACAGGTAGTGGCGGTGTCCGAGGGAGCCCTGGTCCGGTCTCCTGCCTGCCCCCCGGCCGCCCACAGCCCAGGACCCGAGCAGGCCACGTGCCCTGGGGACTCGCCGCGGCAGATGCCGCGAGCAGAGGCCCATTTTACAGACTCCACATGAGGTTTGGGTGAGCGAGAGGCAATGATGGCCCTGGGCTTACAAGTATCCCTGGGCTGTGGACACGGATGGTGGGGCGAAGGCCTTCTGCGTGAGAGGAGCCGTTGGGTCAGTTAGCAGTCACTCCAGGCTGGTCTTGTTTATTTCCCACTAGGGGCCGATTTTTTCAGGTAACAATGGGGATGCCCCTATGAGCAGTGGGGCCTTCGTGCTAAGACCCCTCTGAGTAGGTTTGGCCCATGGAAATGACCTGGGGAACCTTTAGGCCTGCTCAGACCCGTGCTTCCCAGGCTTCCTTTCGGAAGTTGTCACAGCAACTCCAAGACCCAAGCACGTTTTTGAGTGGGATAAGCAAAGAAAATTCTCCCAACGTTGTGTTTATGGCTAGACAAGGCTTTTAGGAGAAACAGAAACCAGGGAAGAGGAT